GCCACCTTTGGGTGTAGCGATGACTATGTTGGCCTAGCACTGCCCATGGACATCAACGATATGTTCCACATCAGAGACTCGGCCTACTTTCAGCAGAGGATCAGCCCGCCGTCGGAAGAGCGGAAACGCTTCCTCTTTGGCGATGGAGATGGTAAATTCAACTTCATGCCAGAGTAAACGATAATTAAAGAGGATCTATTGTGTTCATTTGACACTGTAACATTGTATTTATGACAGAAAATAAGAAAAGGCGTAATAAATCTCAGCAATGTCAGACAAAAAAGATATTTAGAACAGATTGTTGTGCTTGTACTCACTGTGGTTACTCCCCCTGTAGGTGATCGCCCTGCTCTTCCATCACTTAAGCAACAGTTCAGCATCTCTGAGCTGATTGTGTGCCGAGGTGACACGCAGAACCACACGGTGGGTGCAGAGGAGACAGGACTGCAGGAACACACTGAAGAAAACTGCCTCTACTGTGTAGGAGCCATCGTCCTTGGATACCCCACACAGCCACAGATCAACAGCACACACCCTCGGACAGGTGAGCAGACACACATTCAGTCTTTCAGCTGTTTACATGGACATACTTTGAGCTCAGTGCAGAATATAATAGGTCATTTAAATATCTATACGTTTTTCTTCTAGACTATGTTGACTTCCCGTCATGGGGAGGGCAGAGCGGCCATCGCCTGGAAGTGATGCCCCAGTCTAAGTTCTCTGGGGTGTCGGGCTGCAGCGACGCTGCTGTGTCACAAGGCTCAATCTGTAGCACGCCCACACCTGCTGACATTGTCATAGGTAAGACCATGAGTAACCCCAGCCTTTGCATTTGTAAAATTACTTTTTTTTTACCCCTTATATATACTGCTGTAAAATGTTTATATACTAAAGTTTCTCATGACAACAAAATCTTTGAAATTATATTAATTCCACAACAAAATAAACAAAGCACTTGGTCAGTGTTACAGCGTTATATTGTATTTATTGTGTTGAACACTGAATGTTTGTGTCATTTAGGTGGCAAGGCCATATCAGAAGATGGCCCCGCCTCCCGAGTCCTGCTGAGGAAGGAGGTGCTCCGCCTCATCATCAACCTCAGCTCCTCTGTAGGAACCAAAGGCCACGAAACAGGACTACTGACGTATGCTTCTTATTCCACGTGCATTTTTTGAGAAGCACATTCAATTGCAGAACAATAGAAGTTGTTTTTTAAAGCCTGTTATATTTCTCTTTTTACTGCAGGATAAAGGAGAAGTTCCCCTACGCATTTGATGACATCTGCCTGTACTCCGAGGTCTCCCACCTCTTAGCCCACTGTATGTTTCGCCTCACCTCAAGACGCTTCATACAGGAACTCTTCCAGGACGTGCAATTCATGCCGGTAAGACATTTTACCACCCTCATCTCCCCTACATTTTCTGCAACTACCTCTTCAGGCCCAGACACACTGAACCAACTTCAAAGAACAGGTTGCAATGAACACTGACTATTGCATAGCCTGTATCTTGGGCAAAAAGTACATGAACACACCACAAAGACTACAGCCAACAGCTCACACATGCGTTCTGCACCCGTGTGGGAAGAAATAACTCTCCATACAAGCAGGTGGCAGCAGTCTGTATTCGTCAATCAAAAAAGAGGAACCAGAAGACTGACATGACGGATTCAAGACGCTAGTTAGCCAGTTAGAACATTAACAACAAAACCCAATGATGAAAGAACAAAGGGTATTAAATGTGCACCAACGAACAATAACACAAACAATTACAAACAATTTCTGCTGAAGAGCTCAATGGCAAAAAACATAATCTTACCATATAAGATGTTTTTTATTTAGATCTCAAGCCCTCTTGACTTAAGTTGTTTGTTTACTTTCTTCACTTCCATTTCTCTGCTTGTGCACTGAGCTGAGCTGCCAATCAGAGTGATTTCTTTTACCAACACGCTCTGCCATCTCTGATGCCGATTCAGCATCCTGAATCGGCCTGAAAAAAGTCAGCAATGGCGAACTATATTAAGGGACAAAAACTAGGGAGACAGACAGACACCCATGGCCGACCATCAGCCTGGTGTGTCAGGGCTATCCCATGTATAATATTCCTTTTTCTTTTTCTTTTTTTCAGATGTATGAGGAAGCAGAGGCAATCCTGACAAAACTACCAAAACCTGTTGAAGAGGACAGTGACCCTCCTGCAGAATCCTGATCATCCTCCCCCTCGTGTTCCCTGCAAAGCCCCAGTCCTGCCACCCTACAAACATAGAAAAAATGACTGAGAGATATAAGGTCGGGGAGGCGTCTGGCATGTTTCTGTTGCTCAAAACAGAGTACCATAGCCGAGGAGGAGGAGGAGGTGGTCATCGCTCGCCTATCTTGGAAACAAAGGCTGTCGGTATATGTAAACAAAATTACCCCGACTTGCCTGCTGCTGTTTCAAACTCTTTTTTTTTTCGAACAGGAAAAAGGGGGAACAGTTTAACCAAATACAGATGGGTTTTCAGATGGGTCGGCAATCTCGAGCAACACTCAATAATACATCAACATAATGCTAAAGGACAAGCTGGATCATTAAGACAAAGACTCACGTTGTGTTTAAAAGAAGAAAAAATAATTCTATCAACATTTTATCTCTTTCCAGAGGTGGTGTTTTTCTGTAATGAAATGAATAAGGCATGTCGTTGTGTCTACCCAGTGATTCCTCAGACCCCACATTCTTTTCTCCTTACGATACAAAACACTACAGAAGGGTCCTGCTGTTTTTAAAACTTACCTGGAGCCTTCCTGGTTCACATCCCACCCCGACTTGTGATCTGTTCTAGCCAGATAATGTGCTTTTGCTTCTCTTGCCTCACCACTTCCTACAACCTGTAGCCTCTTGTCAGCACAGACAGCCAATTACTTTTCTATTTCTTGTATCTCAGACAATCAAACATCACTAGTATTGTATTTTCTAAAGCACTATATATGCCACCCTAACACAGTACATGAGGAGAATAGCATGTAACTTAATGCTAGTTTATGCCATCCTTTACTTGCTTAGGACCTTTAATGTTTTTCTTCAGCCATTGCATTATTAGTAAGCTTCTCAGGAGGTGGGTCGATCTCTTGGAAAGATGCTCGGTTGTACAAGTTTATCTGTAGAATGATTCATTACAGATTTAGTACCAAACTCTGCTTACAAAACGTCTCCAAAACCTGCGTAAGCCGAGCAGCCACCCAACTCTATGCCTTCTTACCTCTGTGCTTCACTTCCACTGCATGTGCAACAAGCATGGCAAAGTTGTAACGTCACCTTAACATGTTTCTTGCTTGTAAAACTTTAAAAGAAAAAAAAAAAGAACAATAGGTTGCCATTACATGCTGCCATTACATTGTAGGAATATAATTACCCCTGAATCTGTTTCCACAATGCAATATCACTGTCTGTCATTGGCTGAGATGGAGGAGGGGGGGAAGCGGTGTGATGACTAAAGGATTTGTAAAAGGTTTCCAGGGAAACGGGGGATCTCTGTTTCCATTGGCTTGTTTTTGCTATAATGCTGCTAAACAAATGGACTCATAGAGAGATGATTCATAGATCAGCTGAGTGATGTCAGATCCGATCTATTTATTATATGTCTGTACCATAGAGTGAGCTCAACCAGAGAAGAAAAAAAAGTTATTTATATTTTTTCCTCAAGACTGTATTATAATTTAAAAAGATTTTTTTTTTCTTTTCTTTTTTTTTTTTTTGCCTGAATCGTGGTTTCCCTTGTATAATGTGTACAGTATGTTTTTGGGGGCATTGATGACCTAAAGAAACATACAATCCTATCAAAGGGATGCATTGTTAATAAAACAAAATTTGAAATACCCAAAATGTGTGACACTTTCTCCATTTATTTCTATTTCTTATCTCTAACTTATATCTGAATTTACATAGCATAACAGTAGGAATGTCCACCAGAGCTGATGCCTGTTACCTGAATGTTCATTCCATCACCATCAGCCATCTCCAGTGTTGTTTCCCTGAATTTGGCAGTACATCCAACCAGCCTCACAACCACAGACCATGTGTAACCACACCACCTCCACATTCAGTGTTTTCACCTGCAAGATCGTGTGAGACCAGTCACCTGAAAAGCTGATACAATAATTGGCTTGCACAACCAAAGAATTTCTGCACATAAGAGTCTCAGGGCAGCATCTGCATGCTCGTCATCTTCACCGGGCTTTTGACCTACCTGCTTTTTGTTGTTGTAACTAACTTGTGCGGTTGTGAGGCTGGTTGGATGTACTGCGAAATTTGGGGAAACAACATTGGAGACGACTTATGGTAGAGAATGAACATTTAGTTCATGGGGGCATCAGTGGCTTAGTGGATAGAGCAAGTGCCCCATGTACAAAGGCATCATCCTTGCTGCAGTGGCCGCAGCCTTGATTTCAATCTGTGGCTTCCTGCTGTTTGCCATTCCAAAAGTATTGTTATTGAGACAAATGGGTTCTGTTGCCTAAAAGGGTTCATTAGGATCTATGCTCAGAGTTTAACATAGAACAAAAGGTTTCACACATACTGATTGTCATTCTTTATTACTAAACATTTGGTCATTTTCTTTGCTGGGGTAATTCCAGGGGGTGCATGAGGAAAACCAGGGAGACTGGCCATCTGTAAGTTGGTGTGTCTCATGGGGTCTGCATGGAAGACAATGTCACAATGGGTGCGTTGCATTTTACCTTTGTTCCATACCTCTGTGTGTGAAAACTTAAAGCCACCACCTGTCAACACCCCAAAAAACTCCAGCCTGGCCTTGTCTACTCATTGTCTTGAGGCATTCTCTAAAAATAAACAGGGTGGCTCTACTCAGTATTTCTCATGATCAGATCCTCTGTGTCACAGAAAATGCAGATTAAACGGAAAGTTTCAGAAGTTAAAATTGCATTAAAGTGTCCGGCATCTAAAAGACTGTGCTGGCTGCAGGAAGGGCATTAAGGGGTGGTATAAATAAAAACTTATGCACACTAAAATCTCCATAATTTATTTAATTACACACAACCTTTCAGTCATAGACCTCTTTTCAATGGTGCAGGATCCAGTGTGTTGAGGTTCTTTTTTTGTACCATAAATAACTTTAAAACAAAACCTTGAAAATTATAATACCTAATGTTTAACACATTTAATATTTTTTCACTGATTGCACATTTTATAATGACACCATCATACCGCTACTGAAGAAACTATAATATGAAAACTGGAGTGTGTGTTCCTTAAAATTACCCTAAACAGTACTAACGTAGTATTTACACATACAAAATAATTACATTCAATACAAAAAATACAAAACGACTGATTCAAGAATATTTGTGGACTTCCTGTCGAATAATTCCACAATTGAAACAACTAAAACTTGCCTAGCTGCAGTGCTTGTGAGGACCGACGTATAGTTTTTTATATTAAGACAGGGAGGTTGACTCATTTCAGCAGTCCACTCTTGCATTGCTCAGAAATATTGCACAACAGTGTTTTGTTGTCTTCAGTCCCACTGGTCCTTTTCTGATTGAGGTACATAGTTAAGTAAAGGATTTGTGTACTGAGCCAAATACATGACTCCTTGTCCGCTATCTCTGTCCTTTTCTGTGGCTGTCCTTGTTCAGTTTTTTACAGAGGTATTCACTCGTCCGAGCATGAACAGTTATTGGTGCTCAGAAACGGTCAATTCTCTCCTCTTTCGCCCCTGGTTGGTTATCTGTAACTTGTGAAGGTCTACTGGAGTCTGGGTTGTGTATTGTCTCATTGTCCTCATAGCTCAGGTTGTCATATACTTGTTTGATGTTGTTTCTCATCTCCAGCTCCTGGTTGGCTTTAATTTTGTCCTGCTGGAGCTGCAGCAGCATTGCTTTATTCACACCAGGACCTAAGACAAGGAAACATGAATTGTATTGTTAATATAGCTGGTCAAACCTCTTTGTTGTTCACATAAACAAGCACCTGTAAAGCACATACCGAAGAAGCTGAGCAGCACAGGAAGGAATATGAGTCCGTGAGCCATCCCCAGAAGTGTAATGACCAGGTTTAATCGGAAAAAGAAGATCTGGATGAGCTGCGCTTTGGCAAACGCCAGCACAAGGATGCCTGGCAGGTTGGTCATAGCAACACCAGCAAACACCTACAGGTTACACAACAAACATATTTAACAGCTGTTACTGTGTGTATATTTATACAGTCAACAAATCTTTGGCACTAAAACCGGATGTTTATTACTCAAAATTTCTGCTTTAGATTTGTGTGGGATTAACAATGTGTGCTCTAGACTGCCTTATAGTTCACTTACTGCGCTGCCCATGTTTGCTGTAGCCTCCTTAGCTCTTTCTACATGTGTGGGCTTAGCACTGAGTGCGAAGGATCTTGTCATATGAGACACAAACTCCACAGAGATGCCCACAGCCTGCAAACGACATAGAGAATGTAAGTTAGTAAAGTAAGAAATGACCATAGAAATGATTGGTGATATGATATGAATTATAAACATCTTGCCTTACTGAAAACAAAGTATAACATCATAAATTGTCTCCAGGACATAGGAAAAATATAAGTTGTACAATAAAAAAATGTTGCAAATTAATATTGTACTTGCATAAATGTTAGGGACTCAAAATAGACTACAGATTTTTTTAAAAAATGGTCAAAATAGGAGCAGCAGAGGCCAAAATATCTTGATTTGTCCTGATCCTTCATTTCCCATAATGCAACTCTCTCATCTTTCATGAGGTAAGAGCCTGGTGAACACCCATGTCTTTCAGAATCCACACCTCCACTTTGTAATGCAGCCTTTCATAATTTCGACTTTTCGTTCAAAATTTGAAGTTTCTAAGCCCAAATCAAGATAACCCTGATGACATCACCATGACATCATCAAGGTTATTTTGTACAACTTTAAAAAGCGTCCTGTAGAACCACAGAAGACATTATACATCCATCTTCACAGAGTGAGTGGCACTCCTAATGACAAGTAAAACAACCTTAATTTGTGAAATCAGTGGAGTGCCTCTTTAACCCCCTTCACAGATGTGTTCTTACCGTGACCAGATTGATAAGGGCCACTGCGTTGTAATCGATGCCCCACAGTGTCATGACACCAACAGTGTCCACGATGATCATGATTATGGTGATTAGGTTGAGCAGACCGGAGCGCAGATCCAAACCCAGCAGCAGGCAACACACCACAAAGGTGGGCAGCAGACACAAGGAGATGTTGAAGAGTCCCTCTGGCACAATGGTCAGATACTGCTCATAAAATACATTAGTCACCCTAGAGGAAGAAGGGAAGAAAAATAATGATCAGAGATGACAAACTGCATAGGTTTAACCAGCATCACCATGTATATTATGAAAAAAAACCCATTCACAGAGTAGCAGAAGATGGGAGTTCTGGAGACAAAAGTACGTACGTGTATGGAAATACTTCAAAGTCAGGAGAGGTCCCTGGTATTTTCCTCATGCCCATTGTAATGTTGTGGGCCAGCTCTCTGGCCTTCAGCAGCGCAGCAGTGAACTCCTGAGAGTTGGTTAAAGGTGTGTGGTAAGCCATGAATCGAGAGGCTGGAGACGCAGCAAAGAAAAGGGTAACTTAACATACAGTTTCTATGAATACAATAAAAGATCATTGACTGCTCTAAGATGATGTCAGATGGCTCACCTATAATTTCTCCGCTCAGATCTTTCACCACAGCTGTGTCATAGGCTCCAAGACCACTGTTAAAAGAGACAGTAAGCAGTGAGATTGTTGTTTTCATGTTGTGATATCTTTATGTGTGTGTACATGCTGCTATGATACACACCCTTTGGGGCACTGCAGGTCTGGTCTGTTACCCAGGAAGTCAGGGAGGAAGCGGTTGAATTGTTCCATAGTGGGCCTAAGGACACCATCCGGTGGAGTAGCCATACACTTCCAGGGACATCGGAGAGGCGCTATTGAGACACGGAGGCAAGTGTTAATAAAAAAAAAAGGCTAATGTCTTTCATCATATGAGGAAATTCAAAGTAAAGAATGTGTGTGTCTTTGTGGTGATTCTCACATTCGCTTGCAGGACAGAACTTTCCAGCGTTTGGACCAAAGGCGTACAGACGACAACATCTGGATCCAGGGTTTAGCCAGTCAATGAAATCATCTACCCAGGAGTTAGAAGGAATAGCCAGGTAGGATCTACAGATCACAGTGAAAGTTTGTTAAAGGAAGGCTGTAATGCAAATATAAAGGTGCTATTCTATATTTTTCTTATAGTCACCAAGTCCCATGAATAGACCAAAAACAACAATCCCTTAGTCCATCCATCAATACTAACTCAGACTGAACTGTCTATGAACTGTCTGAACTGACTATCTGTCCATTTAGTGTAAAGGTGGAGCCAGGAGATGGTTAGCTTAGCATAAAGACTAGGGATGTCCCAATCTGATATCAAAGATCTCTATCGGGGCCAATCAAGCAATTTTTTTAGTGACTGGGATCAGCTATATTGAGCCCAATCCAATCCTTCTTTTTTTTGTCAGCTGTAACACAGATGTTTTTACTCACAAAGATTTCACGCTCGGCAACGCAACGGGTGGAGCTGCTGTCAGCTCCCTGCTATCTGTCTCTCCACCCTGTGTGTGTGAGAGCAGGGGCTGAGCCATGCCTGCGACAAAACCCCACATACCATAAACAACAGCAAAATTCTGTATAAGACTGATTATTCATCTCATTTATCTTATTAATATGCGCTTGATTTATTTCAGCTCAGTACAAGAGAGTATCTTGCTTTTTGCTTGTTGGTGCATGGCATTGCACCATTGACAGTTATGACACCACTGCAAGTGTAACAAAAGCTCTGCAAGCAAACGATGTGCAAAAGATGTAGAGGCGACAAAAATAAACACATAACAGAATACAGTTCCTTCAGATAACTTAGGCAAATTAAGCAACAAATACTGGAGAATACTCCCAAAAAGAGAGGGTTTGTTACTTCATACTTTATTTTTATGTAAAAAAAAAAAAAAAAAAAAAAGCAGTAAGGAGAAGCAATGCAGAGCTGTTCAATTGTTAAGCATGTACAGTGGATTTATTTTGATGATTTTAATGGCCGTGAAGTGTGCAGTCTTAATTGTATTATCTGGAAGAACTGAAGCATTGCATCAGAGCAGGGCGATACTCAATTTTTAATGACTTGATTGGGATTGGGGTAAAAAAAAAAAAAAAAACTTGATTGGGACATCCCTAATAAAAGACCATGGCCTTGCTCCCTCTGTGAAACCCTTAGTTGCCTCATACGGATAATAGTAAAGGTGCAGTAGGCAGATTTTGTTAGAACTTTCGCTAGAACATGGTCAACTTGAGTGTGACATCATTCCCAGCACCGACCTCCAACTTTTGAGGTAAATGAATGCAGCATTACAGTACGGACGATAAAAATGAAGCTACAGCTAAAAGCCAGTTATCTCAGTTCAGCATAAAGAATGGACACAGGGAGGACACAGCTTGTGGCAGCCATGATATTGTTGTGAATCTTTTCTAAGTCTCGGCAAGAAAGTAAATGAGCGTATTTCCCGAAATGTCCAATTATCCTTTTAACTTTTGACAGTGATAGCCTACTCACATTACTGACATTTAAGTTAACACAATCTGACCTAATTTTAGCATGCATTGAAAAAGTGAACCCTTCCAGTAAATTTAATATATTTCTTAACCAGCACAATTGCCTTTTTTAGTTCACATCTTTCACTTTCATATAGTAGGCTAATATAGTTCTGGCAAGTCCCCCTTAATGAAAAGAGCTTTGCCAGCAAGCAACTAATAATCAGTCAGCGATCCTTCTTATCTAAAGGAAACAAATGTGCGTTGTAATATAATCCATCTGTCACAATTGCTTTAAGTGATTTATTGATACTATATATCATAATGACATGTCAGATGTGTCACAGTGATTCCTAGGTCATATAATTCTCTACTGTAAGTGTTGGAATTCATTTATGCAACACACATTATCTGTTTAGTGGAAACTATATACAGTATAAATTATAATGCAAGATGCAGATAAAAAAGGTTTATCGCTCCTATTAATCAACCTGGTCATAACCATAACACAATGGTTTGAATAGAATACAGGCAGTAATTGTAGGGGATGTTTTGGGTGTTTGCTCTCTATGGCTGGCATGATCACCCAGAGGCACCCGTTATCTGCTCAGTGGCTTTCATGTAACCAAGTTCATCATTAACTGATCTGATTGCTAGTATGTAAGAGGTTGCTACCATGATATCAGGGGGTTCAAGGATCTGTCAGTGAAAAATAATAATTTGAAGGACAAACGCAGAAAACCACCCTTCCCTGGACTGAGAAAAGTAAGTGGTTGATGTAGAGTTAAGCTAAGCAGCTGTGTGTTGTCAAGACCGGGTAAAAGTGTACAACTCGTCAACAGCCTATAAATGAAAAAACTCACAGATCAGGGTAGTTGGTGGCGTACTGAATCTTCTGGGTGAGTGAGAACTGATCACAGCCTACGCTGGAGCAGACTGCATTCATGCCCTCCACAGTGTTGAAGTTGAAGCCCTTTTTTGTTACAAAGTAAACAGGGACTCCGACTTCAAAGTATTTGTACAGGTATTGGAAGTAGTCCAGCATGTAAGAGCCCTGCGTCAAAAACAGAATAATGTTTGTTAGGTTACATTGAAAGGGGAGCATGCAGGTGTTTGTGTTTCTGTAGCAGTGCTTACTGACCTTAGGCATAGCCAGTTCCTGATCCAGCCCCACAGTCACATTAAACATGAGGAATAAGGATCCACAAAGCATGAAGATGAAAACCACCATCTAAGGAAAGCACAGGACAGAATATATTCAACAAATATCCAGTTAAAGGGCCTCTCTATGTGATAAGCAAATACATTTTTGTGTATGGGAGCCTTGGATTTATCTTTAAAGACACACCAGAGACCACAGATTGAAAATAATTTTCTTATGTCTTATGTCATAACTAAAGTGTTAGAAACTTTACCACTATGATTCTGGTGTAACGGTGCAGTAGGACAGGTGCGTAGTATTTCCTCATGAAGGGCAGCAAGAAGCCCTCATTTGGCTTGTTGGGATGCTTGGTTGACACTGTTACACAACAGAGCAGTTCACAGCGATTGTTGTCTTGGCGCCGGGCATCCAGGGACAGCAGGGCCACAAAGGCTGTCATCTGGAGGATGAAGTCCATGAGCACGGCCAGAGCAGCATACAGAGCAAAGGACTTCACTGCTGGCATGGTGGACAAGGCCCCTTAGGTAGCAGAACAGACACAGAGATTAACACATTGTATTGAAACTTGATGCTCCCTTCTTACACATGCACAGAGCTACGTGGACGTAGTTTTTGCAAAAAGTTCTTACCTAGAAAAAAGCAGACAGACTCGGAGAGACTGCACAGAAGCATGCTGGGAGCTACATTTCCAAGGACACGACCAATGTGCTCCTCTCTCTTCTCTCCTGGCCTCCGTGCATCTCTCTGAAATGGTTAAGAGGAGTAGGGTAACATAACTAAAACCAATATGCATTTCTTGCAAATCAGCCATACTGTACATTCATGGTGCTCACAGATCTACACACCTGGTACTCTAGAACAAAAATGAAGATGTTGTCAGCTCCAACAGCGAGAACCAGAAAAGGCACGACCTGCAGAATGACCAGTGAGGAGGGGATGCCAATCCAAGAGTAGAAGCCCATGGAGGCCAGGACAGAACAGCCGACCACCAGGATCCCACCCAGACCCACCAGAAACTTGGAGTCCACCTGCAAAATGCAGAGATAAGAATCTAGATGTCTTTAAACTCAGTGAACCTTTTGCATACTGTATCTCCTGCTGTATCATTTCTTCTGTAATGTATAACTTCTTGGCCAATAAACCCATGGGAGTTACAGCAGAGATAAGCACTATATAGCTGACGCAGCCATACTACGGCAGTCTCTCCTTATCGTGTATGTGATAAGTACTGTTTCAACAATTTTACTTTCTTGGTAGAGGCTTATCGTATCCCAGGCACATGTTGCATACCTCTGTTTTTATAGTAAAAAAACATATGAAGTAACAGTTTAACCAGACTCGGGGGGTCTGTACTTAGGCCCAATGGTGCGAGGAGCTTAAGCTAACATCAACATGCCCACAATGGCAATGTTAACATACTGTCATGCTTTAGCAGTAATACCAACGTAGTGTAGCATGCAGCTTATTATAGGTTAACAGAAATGACAGCTGAGCCTGGAAGGAATGTTGTTGGTTTTGTTGGTAATTGGTTATATACCAAAGTATTAAAAAGGTCAGTTGTTACAGATCATCCAGAATGGGATGAAACCATTAATGTGAACTTCATGGTGGCTCTTGAGTAAATGTCAGGGGATCATAAGTGTCATAAGCAGGAATGTCTGTGTAAAAATTATTGGTAGTCCATCCAGTAATTGTTAAAGAGCCTGGACCAAAGAGGTGGACCAACCATCTGTGAGTGGCAAAAAAAGCTGAGAATGTGGAATACTGTATTAAAATAAAGGTTAAGTCTTACCAGTATGCGCTTCCATGAAGAATACTCCCCCAGTGCCACAGCAATGTACACAAAGATTACAGCATAGCTGATCATGAAGATGGGAATATCTTCTGCTGTTGTTCGATTAATCTCATCCTCCAGAGACCTCTGTAGAGCAAGGGAGAGGCCAGAGAGAAGAAAAGGATCAGGGGCATGAGAGTTAAAATAGTGAGGGGATAGAAACAGTGAGGAGAATTCCACACGTCTTTTGAAAAAGCATTTTACCTAATTTAGATATGAGGCGATGATGAGCAGGGAGGATAAAGGTAGAGAGAGATGAGGGATGACATGCAACAAAGGTCCCTGGGCGGACTCAAACCAAGGACATTGAGATCACGTGGTCAGGGTCCTAAAAACCCTCAGCCACCAGGACACTAATTTACGTTTTTACATTGTAGGAATTTACGTCTCCCAGAATGGCAAAGGCATGACCCACCCTACTCTCCCTCTGACTGGCTTGTACTTGTCACCTTTGTTGACTAGGTTTGTTAGGTTTAGGCAAGAGGTGTGGGATTGGTTAGGGTTAGGGTAAGCCAATCAGAGGCAGAGTAAAGCAGAGTAGGGAAGGTAATGCCTTCGCCATCCTAGGAAATGCAAGTTTGCCACCAAGACGCCCTAGCTACTGATCACTTAGAACAACAATTGCCAATCACAAAATCAACCCAAATTTCTTAGTTGAAACGTAAAACTTGTGAATGTTTTTGCTATGTGACAGACATATAATATGCTTCATGAGATTCCATATTTTTCTCTACCTCTGCCATGTATGCAAAGGTGAAGTTGGAGGCTGGGTTCTTCTGGTAGTCCTGGACAATTTTAAGAAACTCTGTCTCCCACTGCATAGCCACTTTGAACTTAGGGTTACTGCGATCGTAGTTGTTGAGAGAGAAGGTCAGGATGAAAGCTGCAGCGTTGGTGAAGTCGTCATCTGGGAAAAGCAAGACGTATAATGTTCAAGCGAATTGCCCTTTTGGGTTTATTGTTCAGGTATTTTGTGTGTAAACGATGTTGGTGAACTCACTCTCGTAGCCTCCCACGGCCAGGAAGGGGAAGACCGGAGCTCCATAATCAGCCATGCAGCTCATACCTAAATCAGTGATGTCTTTGAAGGATAGGGGAGAGCTAGAGAAGAGATGGAAGAAGGGAAGGTCATGTTAAAGCTCCTGAACAGTTGCAGATAAATTTCCAGCCTGATTTGAAATTCCATCTAATAAATCCTTACTTGAGGCAGTAGACTAAGTGGTCTCTCCAGTCCACCTCTTTGGTTACCCCCAGCTCTGTCATATTCACCTTGGCGTTAATGTTGTCTAGGCTGTTCTGGAAGTACTGTGGCAAGCTGTTGACTGCGCAATCCGTCAGGGAGGGGTCGGACGGGTTCAGCGGTGCAAAACACACATCCTTTAGAGTTGCTGTGCGGTTCAGATCCTCAGACCAGAACTCAATATTCTAAAATTGGCATAAAAGACACATCAATGTGGTAAAATCATATGACGAGCTTTTGTAAATACTGTCAGCTTCTAAGATTCTGAGCTCTTTACTCGGATTCGTGTCTGTAGCTCCAGCAGTTCAATGATGAGCTCTTTGGATACAAGCCCGCTGAAGTTCTGTGGTCCAAACAGCAAAGAGTCATAAATGTGGCCTTTTTTGCCCGGTGCTGTTAAGATTAGCTGGTTTGTCCTGAAGAAGGGGCCAAAGTGCGTGTCGTGGAATTCTTTTTCCTGGCGGGCACGGCTGTTGGGAGCAGACCACAGCTCGACAGGATCAGTGGTGAGTTGAATGGACTTGAGGCCAGCAGAGAAGGCAGCCACAACTATAGCCGACAACAGGAGCACCTTAAATGAAGATGATGACACAGTTCTTGTAATAATGTCTGTACTCTGCTTTGCTCTAAGCCAGTTTTCCTATCAGTGTCCCCAACACAGACAATGATACTAACATGGGGGTGCAAAAAAGTGAGAAATTTTCAAATGCTACATACAATTTGCTTTAAAGCAAGGTTATGTAACTTTTGAAAGAGACATCCTCTTGTTGCAAATGAAAAGATGAATTCATGAAAATTAAAATTCAATCCTGCTCAGTTAATACACTCAGATGTTTTGTTGCTACAGCCTTACTTAATTTAGGATGACAAGCTGTAAACGGCAGCTAGTGTTTGCAGCGAAGTAAACAAAAAGCAGAGGTCTGTATCAATGCCTGGTATTACATATTCCATGTTTTACTGGTTAAAATAACTTTTGTGAATGAAACTAACCGTGAGAGGGTAAGAGGCCATGAGGGTTCCCCAGCGCTGAAATTCTAAGCTTAGAAAAGCTTGAGCAGCCAGGCTGTTCCTTTCAGCGCACGTCACCTCTGAAGGTTCAATGACCTGCTGAGTCACATCATTACTGTTCTGGTCTTTGCCTTTCCCCTTCCTCTTTCCTTTCTCTTCATCCTTTCTTTTCTGAGACCTCACCAGGTAAGACACAGCAAGGTAGAAAAGAAAGGCTAATAACAGGAGACAGAATAAGATGATTGAAATTATGAGGAAGCCGTCCGTCCCCAGCAGTTTGAAGGGGCCGCGGGGCAATGGGGGAGGCGGCACTTTCGGGCATGACTCTTGGCAGTCCTGGCAGGAGCAGACCTGACCTCCAGATGGCGTCTTCTCATTACACTTAAGAGCACGTCCATTGTAGGCAATTACGCCTTCTGGTAGACCCGCGGTGTCTCCTTCTTTTATCAGTTGGAAGTCGATATCCAGTGGAGCCAGGCCATTACTGGAGTCCCCCTGGAAGTCATACCAACGCTGGGGGGTGCACAGCTTGGCGCCATACCGACCACACATGGTGGCAATGGCGAAGCCTCCTGTGGCGGGGATCCGGACATTCTTACAGGACTGGAAGGAAGCGTCTGCAAAGGTGGTGCTGATGAATGCCTGATAACCTACCACGGCCTCCCGTGTCTTGCCCAGGCTGGTGACATTCATGACCTTTGTGACTTTAACTGTCTGGCTCTGGTTGGGGCTGCAGGTGTTGATGCAGTGCAGATGGGCAAAGTTCTCAGCACAGGAAGGGCAGCGGACCAGCACTGCCTTGGACAGGGTCAGACTCATTTCCAGGGATGACAGCTGTTTGATGGAGCAGCAGGCGAATGTGTTGCCCTCTCCACGATCCAACATGGGACACACCTGCAGCAAGAACAGCTGCTGTTTTACAAACTGACAGACTCAAACATGAACTCACTTCTTGTCAAATGAATACTTTTAAAAAATGATTTCTCAAGAAAAAACTACTCTACCATATTTTATTCAGTCATGTTCTCTGCTTCACTTAAACATTAAGCTGGACCCACAGACCTGTTTGAGTTTCTTGTAGTGCTCTCCTTTAATGGCTCGGGCACTGCTGTAGTTTAAACAAGGGACAATAGGGGGGATGAGGGTGTCCCCTAGTGATGGGTTACGACCGCATTCCTCATAGAAAGCACAGTAGCCTGCTTCATGTTGGGCCTCAGACAGCACCTGCACAGAAAACAAAGTTGTCACAAATAATCACGGTTGGGGAAACCACATTAGGTTGTAAGTGAAGAAGAAGGCACACTTGGGACAACTCAAGAGATTTCAACAAAAACTCTTTACATGTTATATGATCATTTTAAAGTATAGTATGTAAAGTTTGTAAGCACTATCTGTCTCCATGTTTTACAATGAAACACTGTAGTTATGTTTAGTGGGACACCACTGTTAGATAAATTAAACAGACAAGGTTCAATCAGTTATATTTAGGTTAAAATGCGTTGCATTTGTTCAGTGTTCAAGGTTGATTACAACCACAGCCCACATCTGCAGAAGATTATAATATACAAAAATCAATTACACTATTTTCATATTAAATACACTCTTTAATAATAAGCTTTTCATAAAGTTTCTTTTTTTCATCTTTATCGAGACTTTGTAAATTAAATGTTAAATTAAAAACAGTTTGCTTTAATAGTATATAATAGTAAAATGGTAAAATTATTTATCCATACGGTCCTCACTATTAGAAGTTTCCCATCGATTGATATTTTTGTGTTTTAACTTTATTCTTTTTTGTTGGCATAACCATTATTTTTATTATTTATGACTTTTTCATATTTATAAAAGGACTTTGGTTGACAACTGTGTGATAAAAAGATACATACACTGGCTTAAACTTGAGTGAGTAAACCAAACACAATGTAGACTGTTGGAACATGTACTGTGTAAAATTTATTTCAGTGTTTATACAACAACCAAAATCAAAAACCGAAAATAAATAACTGGACCCTGCAACTGTAAATTTAACACTTTGATTACTATGAAGAATGAAAACAGACAATCTAGTAATACGTTTCTAACATGGCTAGGAGTGTTGCTTTTGAAATGTCATCTTTTAAAAATGACAACCAGTTTTACATTAGATTACTTTATACAAATATCTTATTTACTATTTCATTAGAACTCTCAGTTGTACGGAAGATTTTAAATGCCTAAATGAACAAAAAAACAAATCAGATGAAGTGAGCTGCAATATACATTCCATCCATTTTCTGTAACCACTCATCCTCATTAAGGGTTGTGGGGAGGGCTGAAACCAATCTCAGCTGACACTGGGCGAGAGGCAGGGTACACCCTGGACAAGTCGCCAGATTAACACAGGACTGACACATATAGGCTACCCCCTTTTCCACTAAAATAAGTGTATGTATGTGGGTTTTTTAAACACGTGCAATACAGGTTTCTTCCTTTTTAATATATCTTACTTATTCAGTCTCTCTTTCAAACTCAAGACTAATTTGGATCGATATTATGTTTCCATCATTGCCTATCGGAGCCAGGGCCAGTAAATACCTGTGATTACGGCAGAGTCATTTAACCAGGGTGTGAATACCGATTGTAACTTTTCCCATTACATTAAAAAGACAGATGTTAGCAGTTGTTAGTGTTTTTTTTGTGCAGTGGAAAAGGGACTACAGAGACAGACAACCATTCGTGCTCACAGTCGCACCTATGTGCAGCCTCAACCCTCTTGCTGTGAGGTGACAGTGCTAACCACACCTATGATACACATCGTAATATGTGATTCACTTTCATGTAAAAATGAAATATGTGTTATAATTTGTATAGGTGTTTAATATCTTCCATACAGTTGAGTTTACAACCACAGAAGACGTTTTATCTAAGGAAACATTTATCTACGAGACTTAACGCTGTAGCTCTTAGCTCTGTGAACACTTACCTTTGCTTCAGATGCAAAGATGAGACAAAGCCCTCAACTGTCATTTTGGCTTTGACATTTGTGATGCTTTACTGACGGAACAAATTGTCACCTGTTACTACTACTACTGTTACTAACATCTGGAACCATAATTAGCCTACCGTTTAATCGCAACATGTCCTTGTAGCTGTAAGGGATTAGATTGATTTAGTATTTTGTTTACAAAAGCAATTATATGTATTCTTCAACTTCAATTGTTGTCACGGATCAGATAAAAGTCTATTAAGGTTTTAATACTAGAATATGAGAATAAAGCAGCGTGAGGTCATTATGCTGCTGACGGAAACAAAATTTGGATACAGGGTCCTGTATTTATTCTTACACATTTAATATTTATTAAGTGTGCTTCTATTGCCGGCTTGCACAGAGCAGATTGCTACCTCCTTTTTCATTTCACGGTATGCGTACATGTGACAAATGAAGCACTTGAACTTGAACCTGAACTTGAACTTGAACTCAACAAAGAAAAATCACCAGACCAACTTACCATACAAGTCAGAAAAGTGATCAGGGTTGCGATGCGGACCATGATTCCTGAATATCTGTCAGCAAGAGAAGAGTCAAAGTCCTCAGGTGCAGTATGTAATGGAGTGTATATTAATCACTGCTGCCCTGTTTGAAGATACATTAGACAAAGTAAGACAGTGAGAGAAGGTCTCTCCTATTGTCAGCCCGTCCGTCTGTCTGTCTAACAGTGTTAGGGTTGGGAAAGGAGAAACATCAGGACATGTCCGTCGTCACCACTCTTGTGATGTCACACGTTTCTTATCTGGTCTGATGCTGCGGCTGGCCAATCACAGCTACAGATGGCCAATTCCTCTGTCTGATAATTAACACTGGGGAGATTTTGATACAGTTGCTGGGAGATCCAAAGCAGAGGGAGAAACTACAGGAAAATCCGATATAACAACCGCACCCAGCCCTTTGCTAACATATATCTTGAGTCATATATTTTTACTGGCCCTCCGTGACTTTTGGTGTTTCTGTTGAGGAACATACAGACATTGGTTGCCCTGAATCAGATCAATCCGTTCACTGAACATGTCATTCCTGAACGTGAACTTTAGACCACCAGCTAAGTGACACTGCTATGTACAGATCTGATCTGTAGGGGAGAGAACTATCTCTGATAATGTCCCTGATAAAGGTCTTTCTGACATAGAGTTTTCTTTAAATTGTGTTTTTTTCCCCCCACATCAAACCTGGTGACAGCCTGAAGATGATAACAGGCTGCCAAGCCAAGCCAACGTGACTAATCACTTCCTGGATCACATCCTACAATATCAAATCCACTTTGTAATTATGTTGTTATCACATGTCAAGGTCACGGCTGAGATAAAACTCTCAACCAAGGGTCCACGATCATGCCTCTAGTGCATCAGAGCTATCAGGGCGAAGGTGCATGAGCATCTCAATTAGTGATAAACAGAGATGGTTAAAAAGACAAGAAGAAATGGGGCAGATATGGTGATGTTCTTTGTTCTTTCTCTACTGATAAGACACGACATCGTGCAGAATTTTGTAACTTAGCCAGCAAACCAAAAACTGTTATGCTATTCATACCAAAAGTTAAAATCATGTGATTTATCTGCATTACCATCTATTTGTCCACTTAAGTATTGTAACATTGGTTGTGCAGCACTGAAATATTGGTAAGTAATATTAAACTTAAAAGTTCCTACTTCTTCTATTTAGTGTTTTACCTGGCTCTTCTGCAGGGCAAACACTAAATAGAAGAAGTTCCTACTTCTTCTATTTAGTGTTTTACCTGGCTCTTCTGCAGGACACGGTGTACTGCACCTATTCTTTATGACTGCCTATCTCTGCTTTGGCAAGGGAGTCTGCCCATTCATAAATTGATTTTAAAAGATTCAGTAAACCTTCGGATGTTTGAAAGAAATCACAAGAAATCACTTCAGAAATTCAAAGGGCATAGACTAGGTTTAAATGGGGGAGGCACAAGACTGTCTTGGTTTTTTAAGGGGTGTAAGAAAACTTTTTTTAAATACAGTAGGCCGACATCCCAGCGTTTTATTCATTTCTGTGAAGAAAACTAAATGAAATTAATATTCTTTAAATTCTGAATTATTATTTAGATATAAACTTCAATAAAAACTAGAATTACTGTTTCACAGTTGAATAAAGATCAGTGAAGACCTGAACACGAGCTATATTCACATTCTTCACTGTCTGCTAAAAAGTCTCATCCTGCATTAGAAAAGTATGCAGTTGAAACAACCAAAGAGCTGATAGAATAATGGCCAAACAGCGGGGAGAAGAAAACACTGAATTTGTCAAAAATAAATAAATAAATATAAAAACAAAAATACAGAGAATTGTGGAAATAATCAAATTTCAACAAAAACCTAAATTCCTCATTTTATAAAAACTTCCTGCAGGTATTGCAGTTTATCAGTTGTTCTGTACAATCAATGTTATGTACTGAATACAATATATCCATAAACCATGTCACTTATTCAGGGGTTGGCAGTTTATTCAATACTAGAAAAGGGTTCCCTTTAGGAAAAGGTTTAGGAACTACTGCACTAGACCTTTAATGTTATATGGTCATTATGGTCATGGTTATTTGTGATGGTGTATCTTATTGCATTCAATTTTACAGGTATTCCTTTTGTTGTTCTCATTGTCCATTTAAAATAAAATCTACATCAAAGTGAACTAAGTATTTCAAATCATTCATTCATTCACTCATTATCCATAACTGCTTATCCTTGGGTCACGGTGGGGGCCTGAGCCAATCCCAGCTGACATTGGGCGAGAGGCAGGGTACACCCTGGACAGGCTTACACAAATCAACAAAAATAGGTTGAGTACTTAAAAACTCTTGTTGCTAAATTATTTTAACATCTTAAATAAAAGCTCCACACAAGTTTTTCTTGAGTTTTAAAAAGGGAGGATGGAGGACGGATAAAATTGAATGAAATAAGGTTTTTAAAAGTATTTATAGGTTTAGAAAACATGATACCATAGTTCATTTAAACTACCCAGACCAACAACATTATAATACATATTACAATTTTTTTTGTTTGTTGTTCTGTAAATTAATTCATTTATTACTAGTCATCTCTTGATTAGTTTATTCCTGGTCTGTTTTATTACATGGAGAGGTGCACAGTGTGCTGGCACTGATTCTTTATAAGAGCCTGTTTCCTTATGTGCCAGGGACTCACCCATTCATAAATCCTTTCGAAAAAATTCAGCACGTATCTGTATTTCTGAAAGAGATGCTTCCTAAAAAAGCCAGAAAAACAATGGGTAGAGGCTAGGTTTGAATGTGTGCCACTACATTTTGGGCTTTGCATATCAAATATTCAAGATTTGACAACAGCTCCACAAATAACAGATGTTATATTTATGCAAAGGTATGGCACCGTTTTTAGGACAGCTTTTCACAAAAGAGTAATTTTGCTTCAGATAAATACATACCTTATGTTTACCATGACAATGTTGCATTTTTGTTTAGGTTGTACTTGATCGCACTGTATTATACTGGTGTTCCTTTGTCCCTTTGAAATACAGTGTACATCTCTATGGACTGAGTATTAAACATATCATTATAATTTGATAACTTAAAAACCTCCACACAAGTTTTTCATTGAGTTTCAAAGAGAGAACAAAGGAGGTTAGTGCTGTGAGCCTTAATAAATTCATAACAGTAAGTTCCAACGAAAGTGCAACAGTACAGTTTAATTAATTACATAATTTTGGGGGAACCTTTCCATTTTGTGGTGTGTGTGTATTAAATTAATTTCTACTTTTTATTTAGCAATCGATTATTTTACTCCCACTTTGTTTTATCATCTTAGTATAAACTGGAGAGGTATACAAGAATTTTGGAATAACTGGTGACGAATATCTGCTAGATCACAGTGTTCTTCTAGGGTGCAGGCTCAGAGGTGTGATCGATATAAAAAGAATAGTTTTACAGAGATCTGTAGAAAATCTTTTGCCATCTATCTGTCAAAGTACAGTGTTTAAAAAGTGCTCATCTCAACCATTTTTCTCTAAGACTTTGCTGATCTTACCTCCTGATAATACACACTTTTCCCTCTTTATGATCCATGTCCTTATCAATCATTATTTATGGAGCTGTCATTGTGCTGCAAGATGGTCTTGACTTTTTGGACTCTTACACGGGTGAAGGATAGTTTCCTTGGAAAGACCTTGGCGATCAGCTGATCTCAAATACCACTGTCACTTCCCTGACTTTATTTTTTTTAATTTTAGTTTGGATGTTTGGTTTGTACTGAGCAGCTGTTCAGCCAGAGCAACACAAAGTACTACAGCATAACCTGGCTCTTGTCACTGCCCTCACCTGGCACATGCAGGCTGCAACTGTACGGCTATTATACAAGCCTAAACAGTTTCAGGCCACTTCTATTCACACAGCCCTTGTTTACAAACCAGACTTTCTCTGCATGCTATTTCTGTTTGGGTTTCATCTCGACAGGTCACTAGATGAGGGGTTTCTTCATGAAACTCAAATACTCACTGCTGGCAGGGCATGGATCGGTACTGTGATTCACAGGTTTCTGATCATCTTTTGAGCAGGCTTTGATCTTTAACCTCTGGGTATATTAATTCACAGAGCTGTGCATGCAACTCGTGGTGGAAAACTTACTTGGCAGCACCTGTAATTTTCTGATGTGGTGAGCCTCTTCCATCATGTTTATTGAGCAGGATACAAAAAAAGCATGTCTGAATCACATTTCTCCTGCTGCCAATTTAAAGTAAACACCCTCCTTCCTTTTGTGTCATTACTCAGTGAGCTGTGACACACTGTTTATGTGTTGTCACTGTGTAGGTATGCAGGTGTCACTACTCTCTGTCACTTCAGACTGTGTGGGCAAGAGCGTTTGCTGTGTTCTTCACTCAGTGATCACAAATTCTTTCAGCTTCCTCCTTAACTAGATGGTGAATGAGTCACGAAGCATCTAGTTTGGTAGGTGGTGATTTACCCAGGGAGTCAGGCTTCCATAAAAATCAGGAAGCACCACAGGCCTTTTTAAACAGCACTCACTTTATGTTGCCATCGTTCCAGTACACTTTAACTGTGGCACACCCTAACGTATTAGAGCCATTATTGGTATCAACTACACCTGTGATTTTCCTGTTATAAAATAACAGCAGAGCTATTGGTTGCTATGTTCGCTAACTTGAGGTGAAATCACTGCAAAGCTATAGCCATGGATTATTAATGTGACTTTATGTGCTGCCTTGTTATCATTGTTGGAAATTAGCACCAGTCCCCAACCAAATTTTGCTAAAATATTAGTGGCTGCTAGATTTGCTTCGCTCACCAGCCCCCGCCATTATTTTTCAACCCTGCTTGGAAATGTAACTAAGGCCATTGATTCATCAGTGCCACAGTGTTTAAAAATCAATACGCTATTTAATACCAGGAATCAAGCTGACAGCTGTGATAATACACAGAATCAAGAACCAGAGTGAGACCTTCCCTAAGTATGAGACCAAAATGTAGATAAACCTTGTGTTAATGGTGACATATTTGGCTCCATGCAGAAATATTAATTGTCAAAACAAACTTCTTAGGGAATCATGAATTTATTTCAGAAAAGTCAACATGTCCAGGACACAAAACATCTGCTATCCCTATGAAAAACAGACTAACGGTGAAAAATAAAGGAAAATTCATGGCTCATTTG